TGATTGAGTGTCAACTCTACTAGGTCAAAACCTCAAAACGAGGATTCTTGTGTCTGACTCCACACAAGTTCTTCACCATAATACTAGGGTCCCGGAGTCTGATTCAACATGAGGTCACCTCCGTAATACCTACGGTCCGGAGTCAGACTTGTAAGAGTTCACCTCCGCAATACCGAGACGACCAAAATACCTTCTAGGCATGGACATAAAGCGAGAAATCAGAACTCCCCACTTATCAAACATGAATAACTCATATGCATATGGATCCATTGCATTATATTAAATCTACATGACCCTATATGAACGATAAACCCACTCAAAACATGTAATTCTCATCAATTATGCAAAATATACAATTCACGTTCAAATAGCACCATTGAGTAATTTATGTTGTAAAAAAATCCCAAAACGTTTGAATGGAGAAGATATGAAAAATATATTCAAGAAGATATGGAGAAAAAAGAGCAAAATGAAGGCATGGAAATAATTATAATGTATAGTATGAGTTTGTGTTAGGATTAATTACTTTACCAATTTATAATGGAACAAAATTGTATCTTTTACGATTTATTAGTTTACAATTAAATGAAAGTTCGTGGTATTTTTTAAAATAATCATCCATTTCATTTTATATATGTATTTGTTATTTTAAACAAAAACCAAAAAAGACCGACTAGGACCACCAATCTAAGTTGGTCTGAATTTTTTGGCCAAGGACTATTTAAGGTCCGACTTGGTTTTTCAGATAGCCCGGAGTCACCGCATTTGAATCTCCGTGGCCACAAGGGGATTTTTATTCCTCCTTGGATTTGAACCTGGGACATTCTGGTATTTTTGACCTTTGAAGCCAAGCTCAAACCAATCAGGCACCACCCTTGTGGTTATCCGACTTCGTTTTCTTATATGGTTAAAATGGACTGGTCTTTTTAGGTCCGGTTAAGGATTGGTCGTTGTGCACCTCTAATGACAACTCTATAATATGAAAAGAGCACTTATGATCTTAAACTCAATTGTTTTTGTATCGTCTTCTCATATTATGAAGGGCTCCATTCTTAGACTTCTCTACCATTAATTTGTTTTAAGAGTTCAGTTTTCACAACTAATTAATGTAATTCTTTATATGAAGTTTGATAGGTTTTTTTATTAAAACTTTAAGAGTTATATTAACCCCTCTAAGACTTTGCTATAAGTTTGTGATAACATTGCACCTTCAGGACAAACCTAGTCAAAGTGGCACAAAGAAGGGTTATGATTGGGATCTGAAGGCTATGATCGAGAGTTCGTATCAAGAAATATCAAGATTGGAACAAGATAATGACCTAACTTAGATAAAAATTACAGATGACTATGGAAAAACGTAGAGAGACTGAGGTTGCAATAAGAGAACTACCAACTTGCACAACGTTCTCTCTACCCGAGCTTAGTTAATGTCATATGTACTTCTTGTCTAAGTTGGTTGCTCGCTGGTTGCAACATTAAATCTTTTCTTAACTACCTTCTAAAGTTCGAACCATCTCTTGTCTAGGGCTTTTTGTGAGGTACATATTAACGTCATCTTCAAGATCCCCTTCACGGTCGTCTTTAACGTCTCCCTCCAACTTTTCATCGATGGCATAATACTCATTGATCTACCCTGCTCCAATGCCATGATAATGTCCATTACCTTCTAGTTTCTCATAATGTGTCATTATTCACAACGTTCTTCCCCTTATCCATTAGGTTTACTTACGAAACATAAAGTAAGTTTAATCAAAACTTAACCAAACAGTTTTATAGTTGAAGTATAGATATGTAATGTAACATCACAAATCCAGCCACCTCACAATTATCATTTAATGATCAATGTTCATGATCTTTTCATCGATCAAGGATTTTTTGTTAGTGGTATCACAAAATAATTACCGTTGTACAAAATAAAATTAAAATTAGCTACGAAATAAAGATTACTTATAAAATAGTTACAGATTACAGCTTTTTTGCCATGTGGGTCGATTAAATATACATTAAAATACTTAAGTTATTAAAAAACTGATACTCTATGTCATTTTTAAAAAAAATTGTCAATTAAAAGTAACTGATTGTTGGTGTACTTACACTTATTAATTTTACATGACTAGATTCAGATACAACAAATTAATTCAAAATATAACATAATAATCTTAAAGTTTAAAGAGTTACCCAAAAATAAACAAAGAGCAACTCCAAATCTGACCTTCAGATATATGGAGTTAGAGCCAAATATACACAAATTTACTTTAAAGAGTTAGCGCAAAATTAACATGTTATTATGTTAACATAAATATAAACAAATTAACTCTAAATAATCAACCCTAAATACAATAAATAAAACCTAATTATAATCAGATAAATTCTAAACAAAAATAAATATCAATTAACCTTAAAATCAAAATTTTAACATAAAAAAAACAAGTTTACTCAAAATATTAACAGAAATTATATCAATTCAAATTCATCTATGGTTGCACCGTTAAATAGCTAGAAAAATTTACATTGTATGACAATTAGGGGTGTGAATGATGCGAGTCGAGCTCGAGTATCAATATGCTCGACTCGAACTCGATAGCCATTTCTCACGCTCGAACTCAACTCGAAAACTCGCGAGTAATTAAAAACTAAACTCTACTCGAACTCGATTGTAATTTTTTAAACTCGAACTCGGCTCAAACTCGTTTGAAGCTCAAACCAAGCTCGAAATCCTACTTGAATCAAGCTCGAAAATAAAGCTTGAACTCAAAGTCGAATCAAGCTCACTCGTCGAAATTTTGAAATTTTAGGATCTTTTATGAATTATAAAACTTAAAGGTGTTCTCTTAAAATTTTAAAAAACTAAATGGATGCACCTCAAACTTATTATCAAAAAGACAAAGTTACAAACTTTATTCAACCTATAACACCTCTACATCTTCTTTTACTATTTCTATTCCAATATGGGACAACTTTACCAACACTTCAATAGTTTTTTTGTCTTTTTTAATTATGATTTTAATAAAAAAAATTATTGATTAGTTTTTATAGTTAAAAATGCACAATATTATTCAAATATATAATAAGACAACACATTTTTATTACATTATATTATTTAATTTATATTATAAAACTGATTATATTTTTAAAACTAATCATATATAAAAAATCGAGTATCTCACGAGTTTTTCAAGTCAAGTATTAAGTAGCTCGACTCGACTCGTTAATATGTCGAGTCAATTCGAGTTTGAATCAAGCCTATTCGAGTCGAGTGTTGACCGAGTCGATCTCGAGTAGCTCACGAGTTGTCTTGTACCGTTTACACCCCTTGACAACAAATTCGTGGTTTTACAGACAACCACTACCCAAAGGGGTAGGTCTGGCCATGTTTTCAGTCGTACTAAATGTTTTCCCTTCCTCTTATCCAACAAACAAATAGTTGCATGAACTTTAGGGTTTGAGAGAGGAAGTCAAAATAAGAAAGAAGTAAAGAGAAAGTCCACTATTCGAGTACCAGAGAACAACTAACGATGTGAGCTTGAGAATCACTAAGGTCGAGTCCCAATAACTCGTTAAATGGTGTAAAACACCCCTACCATGTGTGGCTATCGACACCCTCACAAAATTTCATCGTCAAGTTTGGTTTTTTGTTTTTATTAATTGTAATGGTGTTATCTCTTTTATTTTGTCATCAATTCACTTGTAATTCACGATTCTTTTCTCTTAGATCCTAGATGGCTCGTCACGACAGCTATCGTGTCTCAGGCGTAATTATATGGTATGCCATAACTAAATGTACGGTTTTATAATACGATATTTGATTATCTTACCTTTTTAGTGTACTATTTTGTATTTTTAGTATATAAGATAATATAAATTGTTTAACCTGTGTTCTCGAATTTGGAGAGAAAGGAAATGGAAGAAAGAAAAATAAATTTTTTAGTTGTTTTCTCAAAAGGAAAGGAAAGAAAATAAATTTTCATGTTCTTGAAAAGAAGAGCTTTAATTTTAACTCTCTCTCCTGGCAGTATCTGTATAAAATATATATACATTGGTAGGGGAGCGTTCCGTCTTAGAGTGAAGCACCCGCGCGAGCTAGGACTTAGGTCTCTCTTGGGGCGGGCATCAAGTACATGTATCTTTACCTCGGTTTCGGGTACAGGATCCCTTTTGTTAAAGGTCGTTCGAGTTTTTCTTGAACCGGAAGCGCCCCTTCTTTCAAAGAGAAGAGGATGGATTATTCACATTTCATTTGGGTCAAATACCTAGCAAAAAAAAACTCTTTAAAAATATATATATCCTTTAGTACGAAAGATTAGGTGATTTTGTAATTTTAATAATTTTTTAAAAGGTTTTAATTCATTTCATTTCCTTTCCTCCAACATTTTTTTTACTTTCCTCTATTTCCCCTCAATTTATGAAGGTTTTGATAACACATCGTAATATCATTGATTGATTGAGTACTAATAATAATAATAGTAATAAAGTATGTACATTATACAATTATACATATACTAGGGCTAGAGAAAAACCGAAAAAAAAAATGAGGAACGTCTTGGTAACCGTTCATCTGGACCGTATATATGTATGTATATTTGTAATTTTAAACAATTTGTCTGGTATACATATATACATAAAAATCAAGAAACAACTTTAATTACCGGTATATATATATAAATACCGTCTACATAAATGGTTACCAAGATGTTTTTCAAAATTTTTTTAGGTTTTCTCCTTAAACCTTCCAAGTTATACAATATTCGTTATCGTCATGTCAAGATTAAAAAACGTCATTGGTTCAATCGTGAGTTTTAATGGTGAAGGGAATGTGTAATATTCATGTTCTCTTTAAGAAAGAGATTCTGATACGAGACCAAATAATTGACTTTAAACGAAATTATAAAGAAAGAAAATAACACACTTTCTCTCTCTCTCTCTCTCTCTCTCTCTGTGTATTTGTGTGTGTATATATATATATATATATATATATATATATATGTATAGATAAAGGTAAAGCTGGAGTGCAGATATTTACAAGATCGCTAACTACTTTTAAGAATCTTCTCCGGCTACGGAAGAGAATGAAACGCTACGCAATCCTCCTTCTGCTTGCTCTCTCGATCGCCAATGTTGTTCATGCTCGTTTCATAGCCGACGATTTCATCCAGTTACCATCGGAGAAACGTGACTCCGATGACTTAGTTGGTACCCGATGGGCTGTCTTGCTTGCCGGATCTAACGGTTACTGGAATTACAGGCATCAGGTTATCATGATTCCAAGCCTTGTATTCGATTCTTAATTTTGTCAAAGGAAGAAGTTTGGGCCCTTCCTTTTGGTTTATTGTTGACACCTGAATTATTTTCTCGTGCTCATTGAATTTCCGTCAAGGATTGATTGCAAGTTTTAGGGGTGTTTGGGATTGCTTATAAAAGCTGTTTTTTAACTTATTTCAGTCTGTCACCGGTGATAATTTGTTTTCTGGTGTTTGGATAAGAAAAAACACTGTTTACATCGGTGCCAAACCGATAATAAACTGTTTTTAATAAGTTAATTCTTTCTAACTTATGAAAAACTGTTTATTACCATTTTACAATTTTATCCCAATTTTATTTAACTCCGATTTGATAATACATGAGTTAATAAGCACTTCTACCAAAAAAAAAAAAAAAATTGTTTTAAATAAGCAATCCCAATGTGTTGTGGTTACTTGTTGTCTATAATGTTGGCCAAATTTCACCAAAATGGAACAAGTTATGCAATGAAAAGCAACTTTTAAAACGTGATAACGAGCTTTTCAAATTCAAAAACAACTTCCAGAACTTAAATTGTTAGCAACCAACATCTAAAACTTTTATTTTTGGAACAATTTTCAAAAATTCTCAATTTCGAAAGAAAATTTAATCTTATTATTAGTAAACCAAAATGGAACCAAATTCACCTTGTATCCTATTTTGGAAACATGAATATCCGTTAACGAAGTTTTGGTTTCCAATACGAGGGTAAGAAAGTGGTTTGCAATATACAAATGAAAACAAAATTGGTTCACTTTTATTGCAATTACAGAGTTTCAAGAAAATTGGCCAGTTTTTGTTTTTGTCCTGAAAACTGAATTAGTTTTTGTTTGTGTCATGCTGTAACAGCTTTCACTTCTTTCTGCTTTTTTTCCCTTCATATGAAGTCATGATGTTTCAATTATCTCATTTATTATGTCCATCAACTAGAGTATGTAGCAATTAGACACTAATTTACTGTCTAATTTGTGTCCTGTTGACAGTCATGATGTTGTATTTTAGTAGGATCCCTTTGGTTGATATATATCTGTGCCAGCAAAATTAAGCTCTCATTTGAATTAGTTGACTTGGTAAAATAAGTCTTTGGAAAGTCATACCTGTTGGCTGTTATGAGGGACATGCATCCCTAAGCAACTTATCTGGATTATTGCACAATATATGGGCACTTATTTGGTCCAAGTAAACAGAAAGAGAATCATACTACAGTACTACCATATTTACCACTTTTTCCTTTCTCAAAGAGTTGGGCTGAGCTGGGAGTTGCCCCAATGACCGATAAACTGAGGGAGGGGAATTGCGTTGGTTTGGGCATGTTCGTAGGAGACAGATGACGAACCAGTAAGGAGAGTAGAAAGAGTGACTTTAGAGGGAGTGAGGAGGAGGGGAAGGCCAAGGAGGATGTGGGATAAGCAATTGAGGTTGGACATGGCAGCCCTAGATATTTCCGAGGACATGACCTTTGATAGGAGCACTTTGAGACGGAGAATAGCATACCAGACTAGGAATGTAGACTATAGCTAGCATAGTCGGGGAGAAGGGAGGTGGAAAGCTTAGGAAGGGGGTAGAGGGCTGGTAGTTTAGGCTTGAGACGTGCTTCTGCCGTACTTGCCACAAGTGGTATTGCCTTACCTTACATTTTGTATGTGTTCAATGTACCTCTTATTCTTACTTACCTTCCTCGTGCTTCATTCACCATATGGTTATATATATATATATATATATATATATATAGAGAGAGAGAGAGAGAGAGAGAGAGAGATGAGCAATCAAATGCAAACCACCCAATTTGTACAAACCGTGCAAACCTCATTCAACCAATCATAATTTTTCATTTTGTTCATTTTTTTGTAATTATGAGAGGTTGATTAATCTTTTTATTGTGGAGGGTGTTAATCATGGATATTATCATATTCATTATTTTAATTTTAGAGAAATACATGAAACAGTTTCATTAAAACTTCATTAAGTATTATATGAAACAATTTCATAACCATATATGAAACAACTTCATCAAAAAAAGTATTATATGAAACAATTCACAAGATTAAACAATTTCATGAAAAAATTTCTTAAGATTAAACAATGAAATCGACGGATAAGGGTGGTTTGCACGGTTTGTACAAATTGGGTGGTTTGCATTTGATTGCTCCTCTCTCTCTCTCTCTCTCTCTCTCTCTCTCTATATATATATATATATATATATGCTAGCTGTTTGCTCACACTCTTGCACAAGTCGAGGGTCATCACAGAAACAAATGCGCTACTCTTTGAGGTTGAGGTCATCTATGCGTACATCTCACACCCATAACCCTACGTTCAAGTGGGATTTACTGGGACTAGGATGTTTTATCTATGAAAAATAATTGTTGTGAATTTGGTGGCATGTTCAATGGGGTCTATTAATTTTCTTAAATAAAAAACATGGTGATCTTTAAGCATATTAAGTTCTTTAAGTTTAGAATATTTGTCGATAAATGAAGAAAGATTGCAATATTGATTCTATCATTGTATTAGAAAATTAGAAATAATGTATAAATGAGTAGGGATGGTACAACAGAAAAGAAAACTAAATTAAATTTTCATGAAGTAAATATTAATGGTAGGGTAGTGATATCTATCCTTCATGAATGAATGTTGGGGCCATCTTTTTAAGAATTGTAAAGAAATATACAAGACTAAATAATGAGCTCCAGAAGTTGAAAGTCAAAAATTTGTTTCTATTCTCAAGGAGAGAGTGAGTATAACATTTGTGTTGTATGAGAAAGGTGATGCCGTTGTTGTATGATTTATGTTTGAGAGCTTTATCAATAACTTGTTGACACCATAGATATTGGTGTTGGAATGATAGAATGGATACTTAAACATGTTATTTATATACTTAGAATTGTTGCTTTGTTTTATCCCTAATGATGTTTACATGTATACTTGGTAATGTTTAAATTCTGTTAAATAATCTTAGCTAAAAGCCAATCATGTCTTTGTTTGTTCTTTTTGATTGTTTGCTCATTTATTAAAATCCCTTCGTTTTCTGCTTCAGGCGGATGTATGTCATGCATATCAAATCTTGAAAAACGGTGGCCTCAAGGATGAAAACATTGTGGTTTTCATGTATGACGACATTGCAAATAATGAAGAGAACCCCAGGTCTGGAGTCATTATTAATCGCCCAGATGGCGATGATGTATATCATGGAGTGCCAAAGGTATACATTTCGTCATCAGACACTCGTTTCAATATTTGTGTTATATGTTTGATTCTCATGTGGTGCATTTTCTTTATTTGCAGGATTACACCGGGGAAGATGTCACCGTTGACAACTTTTTTGGTGTTCTGCTAGGAAATAAAACTGCAGTTAGAGGTGGCAGCGGAAAGGTTGTGAATAGCGGTCCCAATGATCACATTTTTATATACTATACTGATCATGGTGGTCCAGGTGTGCTTGGTAAGCTACTTCATCCTACTAATTTGTTCTGGGGAACCTTTTGCTCATCCCTTTGGTTAGTCCCCACGTGTTGCCTCAGTGGTAGGATGGTGGGCATCATAAAGGAGGTCCAGTGTTCAAACTTTGGCACCACCGCTTACCGCTGACTTGCAGCAATTTACCTTCCCCATGATGGCCATGGGACGGTGCGGTGGGGGTGCTCTAGAGGGTGGTGTCTACCCTTTTCTTCCTTTGGTTAGCTAATCTTTTTGAAGCTGAAGCAGTCTTACAAATGCTATGATTTGTTACAATTTCCTTGACTTAGAAAAGGTGTTATTTGCTTTTGATGCTTGATATTCTTTTCTGCTCTTGTAAGATGGAAACCGTTGGCCATAGTGGTCCCGAATTCAAGTTGATTCTATTTTGCCTCTTCCTCATTTGAATGATTCACGATCGATATTTTTATTCTTGGCACTTGATTGAAACATCTATTCATTTGTGTGGTAGCTTTCTATGCTGATTATGATAACTTATGAGCTCCAGATTTCACTATAAAGATCTGTATAGCATGGTTTATATTTCTCAATTTTCTCTCAATTTAAATTCTCTTCTTAGTTTCAAATGCTATCATGTTATAAGTGGGATATCACCTAATCATTTGTTTGGTTTCTAACATTTGGTGTATAAGTTCTTTTAAGTATATAATATTTATTATGGCAATTGAACTCACACACCCTCCTCACCTTTGTTGAGGATACTGGTAACCCAAATACCGCTAGGCCAAAGGCCCTTTGGTCTGTTTGGTATATAAGTTGCAGCATAATTTGTAAGCTCATAGAGTACATTCTAATAATCGACTAATTGTTGAAGTAATGATATTACCTCTGTTCCAACAATATGGGGCACTTCCCCTTGTAAGTGAAGTTATTAAAAAGCATGTTCTCTTGTGTTTTGTCATGGAAGGAGCATTCCATAATTGTATTCAGTTTGATTTGATACACATTGAAAGGTGCTCTCCTGAATCCTTTTGCTGCCCCCCTTCTCCTAGCGCAGCTCTCCACATCAATGGAATGCTTTTCATTCTGTATCTATATTACTACTAAAGTTGAAACTCTTGTTTACTGGTTATGCTGTACATATTTCAGGGATGCCTACAAGTCCTTACATGTATGCAAATGATCTGATTGAGGTCTTGAAAAAAAAGCATGCTTCTGGAACATATAAAAGCTTGGTAATTTTTTTCATTTGATTTCTTGTACCTTCAAATGGATAGGGCATCTCCAACAGATTCTCCAAAATTTCTTCAAAGTGGAGAATAAAAAAAATAAAAATCTCCAAAAAAATTATATTCAACTCTAACAGTTTCTCCATTTTGGAGATTACAACATTAGTTATATTATTAAAATATCCAATACATTTAAAAAAAATATTATTTCTCCTTCCTAAACATTTAATTTCAAGGATTCTTATTGGTGTGAGTAATAAAAAATCATTTCTCTCCTGAGCCGTTATTTTTAGGGAGTTCTCCACATTTGGAGAATTTTACCATCTCTCTCCTACTTTCTCTATTTTTGAAGAATCTGTTGGAGCAAAAAAGTAACCCAAAATCCTCCAAATCTCCATTTTCTCCATTTTGGAGAATCTGTTGGAGATGCTCTTTTATATCAACTATAATGGAGAACAGTATTTTTTATTTGTAGGTATTTTACCTTGAAGCATGTGAATCTGGAAGTATTTTCGAGGGTCTTCTCCCTGAGGGTTTGAATATCTATGCAACCACAGCATCTGGTCCAGATGAGAACAGCTGGGGTACATACTGTCCTGGAGATTATCCTAGTGCACCCCCAGAATATGATACCTGTCTGGGTGACTTGTACAGTGTTGCATGGATGGAGGACAGGTACATTTGAGTTCTTGTGATGGCTTTTAATGTGTGTAAAAAGTAAGGGAAATGGTGACAAATAATGTCAATTCTGATTGATTCCAGACTCTTGATCCAAGAACAACCATCTCTTCATGGTTTTTAGGAATTTAATAGATGTCTGGTTCGGTTATATTTGACAACCAAAATCTGCTTTAATTATTAACATATGTGCATATATTGAAGGCAGTGGTTTAATTTAAGTTGAAGCTATGCTTAGTTATCTACACCCTTCCCCAAACAAGGCACTTAAAACTACTGTGGTACAATAGAGTTTGGGAACACAGGCTTTCTCTAGAGCTCGATGTTTAACAATGCGTGGATGACCTCCTTTACATGTTCTTATTGTTCTCTAGTTTTCTCTTAAGTCATCTTTTGAGATATTAGGTACTCACTCTGTCCTAAAAAAGCAACGGTTTGATTGATCAAATAGTTTAATAAAAAGGTTTGTCTATTGGTCAAAATGTCTAAAATGCCTCTAATAAAGATAAAACAAGTAAAACATGGAGTAAAAGTCAAATTTGCAAATATCAGGTAGTGATTACTAATGGGATAAGTTGTACACAAACCATCAATCTGGGCCTGAGTTCAAGGGTGGGTTCCTATCCAATAACGGAGGGTCCAGTTGAAGGTTTATGGAGCTCAATATTCCCATGTTCAACAGTCTCAAACCGAATGGATGGATTCTTAGGGCGGAGCCATATTATGCTTTCTATAGTTTGATCGAGAATGTCAAGTTAGAGACAGCGTTGGTGGCATTAGAAGCAGATGTCCTATCGAGGTATCAATGGGAACATCGTTGCATTGTTCCCATTTGTAGTTGGAATGAGCTTAAATTCCTCCTGCTACGGCAGTGCCAATCATTTCGAGCTAGATCTCTATACTAGCTGTGGTTGACGGTTTCCCAGGTAAGGTATGTTTTGGATTACGAGCGTAGTTTTATCAAGTTGTCTGCCGCATTAGAAAACATCTCAGATGAGGTTGCTTTGGGCCATCTTATAAATGGGAATAAAGGAGATAGCAGGGCTGACGTCCGACTGTTGAGCCCATACAACTTGGATCAGGCAATTAAAAGGACGAAGGCAGGTGCAGGGGCAGGGCCTCCGACCATGGATCTGGGTCGCTGACTTCCAAGTCCTTGACCCTTTCGTTGAAGCCACTATACCAACTGTCCCCCCTTGCTTACTTCACCTAATAGTCCAACCCTTACTTCGACCGGTCAAAACCTACCCACAACACCATGACCCCTCACATAACTAGGAGACCTAGTCAAGGGCGTCCAACGGTAAAACCCATGAGGGAAATTTATCGTTTAACTGACAAAGTGTTACAACAAAAAAGAGATAAGGGACTATGTTTTCGTTGTGATGAGAAATGGCAAGTGGGTCATTGTTGTTGCAAAAGGGAGTTGAGTGTTCTTACTACTCTGGAAGGGGAGAAAAAAGGGGACGACAACCCTCTCAAGGAACAACCTGAAGAAAAACCAACTGAAATTTGCTAGGATAGGGTAACGGGAATCACCAAACCCAAAACCATGAAGCTCTTAGGACCGTTGCAAGATGAGGTGGTGATTCTGGTGGCTCCTGGAACCACCCATAGTTATATATCCTTAGAAACAGTGATTACAAAACCTAGTGACAAACAAGAGGGTTCGGTGTATCCTTGGGAACAGAAGTGTCACAGGGTGGATGTCTTGATGTTAGACAACTCAAAGGTGAGTTTAGAAATCTAGTGGCTTGAGAGACTCAGGGCAGTCACAACCAATTGGAAAACTCAACTTGTGAGGTTCAGTGTGAAATCGGTAGACGGTAGTTGTTACCTTGAAAGGGAACCTTCATTGGAATGATCTAAAGGCACATTAAAAACATGTTGCGTGCAGGAAGGGGATTTTTGGTTCAGTTCAACAAGTTGGAAGGGTAGGAGAACTTAGACGCACTACTATTGGCAGTTACAGGAATATGGGTAAATATTTGACATGCCAATGGGTTTGCCACCTTAGAGGAATAATACCGAGAGAAGATGTAGATCTGATGAGTTTGCAATCCTGCTGATACCTCAAACCCAAAAGAATGAGATAGAGCGGCTAACTTAGGAGATGTTGCAGCTCAACATAATCCAGCCTTCCACAAATACTTCTAGCGTAGTTCTATTGGTTAAGAAAGAACGACCGTGTTTTTTTGTGTGTGGATCTTCGAGCCTTAATAAAGTTACCATACCCAACAAATATCCCATGCATGTGATCGATGATTGACGAATTACATGGGTTTTGTGTTTTCACCAACTCAACCTCAAGCCGGCTATGACCTAATTCGTACAAGACAAGAGGATGTTAAACCACTTATAGAACGCATGAAGAACACTATGAGTTTTGCGTTATGGCCTTCGGCCTCCTAATGCCCCCGCCACTTTTTAATCTCTTATGAATAATGTGTTTGGCCCTTTCTTGAAGAAGTTTGTGCTTGTTTCTTTTGACAACATTCTCATTTATAGCAAGATTGGGGAGCAACATTGTGAACATATGACCAAGGTGTTGAACAAGTTGCAGTACCATCAGCTATATGCTAACCCAACAAATGTTACTTTGGGCGGACAACGTTGACCTATCTTGGCCACGTGGTTTCAGCAGCAGGGGTGGCCCTGTATCAGAAGATAACGGCTATACTGGAATGGGCTACAGCCATGAATGTGCGAGATCTCCAAGGGTTTTTGGGCTTGACAGGTTATTATCGCAAATTTATAGCACGATATGCGAATAATACTCCACAATTGCCTGAATTACTCAAGAAATATTGGTTCATATGGTTCGAGGGGCCAGCAACAACATTCCTTAAGTTAAACCAGATAAAGACTACCGCTCTGATTTTGGCGATGCCAAACTTCTCTCAACCGTTTATTCTTGAAACAGATGCATTGGGGTTCGAGGTAGGAGCAGTTTTAATGCAAAATTCTCATCCAAAAACATTTCAAACCCATCTAAAAAAGCAACTGATGGCCATTGTTTTAGTTGTTAAAAAATGGCACCATTACCTTCTCGGGAGACATCTCAGCAATCACATGGATCAACGAAACTTGAAACTTCTAATAGAGCAACGGGAGGTGGGTAATGAATACTAGGAATGGTTGAGCAAACCATGTTTGTAAAAGTGTAGCTGGCCAGACAAATGTGTCATCTCTAGACGATCAACGGCATGAGCGTGATGCCATATTAGATGAATTACGATTCAATTTACTGCAATCAGCAGTAAATGAAATTCATGGAGGGCAAGAACTGCGGGGACGTGAATTTGCTGTTGGGGATCACGTGTACCTCAAAATTCAAATTGCAGCTTTATCGCCAGCGATCACATGCAAAACATCCTTACGAAAAGCTTGGCCCTCGTATTTATGGACCATTTCCCGTGGTACAGCGAGTTGGTTGAGTGGCATATAAGCTTCAGTTGCCAAATTTGACCCACATCCGTCCTGTGTTTCATGCATCCAAATAAAGTTTGGTGTGAGAACCCAACAGTGCTCTCCTTCTATTCTTTCTTGGCTTAATCAGGACCTTGAGTTGGATGTGGAACCTTAGCCAGCTATTCGTTTAACATATTCTTAGAAAAGGGAAAGAAGGGTAATTCAAGGAATGTTAAGGTAGATTGTGAAGTTAGTTAGCAGGGGTAAAAGGGGAAAATATAATCAGGAGCCTTAAATATGGTAATAAATAGAAGAGAGTAGCATAAAGGGTTGTAGGCAGACAATAGAATTCTTGATTATCCTCTTTCAATCATTCAATCTTAATTTTTCTTCACTATTTTGTTGTCCTTATAATCTATTGTATGCTCTTGGTTGCATAGAGGTATGTTGAAGCTTTTTTCATTTATGGAAATCATACTTAATCAGCTTGTGATTCATCACATCTCTCGCCTGTTTAACTTATTCTCTTTTCTTGCTGGCAGTGAAGCACACAACCTGCAAACAGAAACAGTTAGGCAGCAATATCATCTGGTAAGAGCTATGATGAATATGAAAGATATTTCCAATCATATCTATGCTATATTATAAAGCATTTAGGTTTTCCTGTTCTTAAAAACTCTTAATTTTTCAAGGGTACAACTTATAGAACATTAAGTATAAATTATTAATGCATACAAAATCTTCCAATTTATAAAATATTCCTATTTTGCTCTTCTTTAAGAACAAAGTTTTTGGAAACCTCTACTACCCTTCCCAAATATAAGGTCAATTAACCAAATAAACAACATTATTTGATATTTTTGGAAACCTCATCTCACACTTGATCCATTTCCAAAACATAAAAAAAAATCGTAAAAAAATAATTTAGAACAATTCAATTTTCGGTTTACAATATTTTTTACATTCTGCTATGTCGCACAGGTACACTTTTAGTTAAGTATAAAGTATGTTTGTTTCCATTTTTTTCTCAATTGTGTGGATGAGCAACTAAATTTATATCTTGTCTGCATGAATAGAACTCGAGCAAAGAATATGGTGACCAGAGAGATCAATTTCTCATTAGGGTTGAATGGGTTTAAATACAACAACGTATACAAGGAAATAACGGTATACAAGGAAATAGGAGATAATTACGTAGGAGATAGCTACAAGTAAGGATATACACAAATATGGTAAATATACGAAATCCTTTACTCCCCCCGGAGCATGTAAGTCTCGAATGCCCAACTTGTCAAGTAGACCTTGTAATCTTTCAGTCTCCAAAGCTTTGGTAAACAAATCTGCTATCTAGACTTTCATGTTTACGCACATCGGTTGTATTTCTCGTGATTCCACCCGCTCTCTAACAAAGTAGCAGTCCATTTCCACGTGTTTGGTTCATTCATGAAAACCTGGGTTGTCGGCAATGTGTCCTGCTGCGTGGTTGTTACAAAAGAGTGGCGTTGCTTCTGTAGGTACCACTCTCGAGATCTTTAGAAGCCATCGTAGCCATAAAACCTCACTCACCGCATGTGCCATGGCTCTATACTCCGCCTCTGCCGACGAACGTGACACCACCGTCTGCTTCTTAGTTTTCCATGAAATCAGGGCTCCTCCTAAGAGCAAGAGATATCCGGTCTGTGATCTCCTTGTGAAGGCGCACCGAAGCTAGTAGGCGACGAGCTCGGTACCAACATCTTTCGTTATTAAAATCCCTTGGCTTGGAGTGGCTTGGAGATAGCGTATAACTCGAGTAGCAGCCTCCATGTGCCTTTGTCGAGGATCAGAAACGAATTGACTGCATATGTGATGTCGGGTCTTGTTGTTTGCAGGTACTACAATCGTCCAACAAGTCTTCTGTATTGGCTTGCTTCAATTCGTGGGCTGTCACCACATTGATTCAATTGTAAATTCTGTTCCATTGGAAAAGAACTCGATTTGCATCCCATCATTCCACTGTATTTCAATATGTTGAGTGTGTACTTTCGTTGACTCAAGACCATTCCATCTGGTGTTCTAGCCACTTCAATACCAAGGAAAGACTTCAACGATCCCAAGTCTTTGATGCTGAATTTTTCATCGAGGTAGGCTTTTGTTTCTTGTATTTTTGCCGTGTCGTTTCCCATGATGATCACGTCGTCCACGTATATTAGGGCCGCAACGTAGCTCTCACCCTTTTTGTATATGAACAACGAAGCGTCTGCATGCGTTTGATTAAAGCCCAAACTCGACAGGGCCATGGTGAATTTTTTGTACCAGTTTCCCGAAGCTTGTCGCAAACCATAGAGGGACTTTCTTAATCTACAAACCTGAGTTTCTCCTTCTCTTGCGAAGCCTTCTTGAATCTCCATGTACACTTCCTCGTCGAGATCCTCATGTAAGAACGCGTTGTTGACGTCAAGTTGGTGAATAATCCAATTTTTCTTCGTGGCTATAGTGAGTAGGGTTCGTACCGTGACTAGCTTAGCCACCGGTGCAAATGTGTCCTGGAAGTCAACCCCTTCCTGTTGCATGAATCCCTTTGCCACTAACCATGCTTTATACCTCTCCACTTCACCATCCGGTTTGTACTTTATCTTGTACACCCACCTCGACTCTAGCACGTTTCCCGTCAGGAAATTCTTCAAGGGTCCATGTTCCGTTTCTTCTAGGGCTCCTATCTCTTTTTGCATGGCTTCTTTCCATCTTTCGCTTAGTACGGCCTGTCTAAAGTCCTTTGGCTCATCATTCGAGCTGATGGCCGCCAAAAAAGCTTTGTGTTTGTCAGAAAAGTTTTTATAAGAGATACGATTGGCAATAGGGTGTACTGTCAAGGAATCTTGATCATACGAGGAGTGTGTGGGGTCTACCGAAGGTGGCAGATTCACAACGAAGTCTTCAAACCGTTTCGGTTGTGCTCTCGTTCTTTTCTCTCTCTGACCATTCCCTTGTTGTACTGTAGGCTGGCTTTCTGGCTCGGTTTCGTTCACAACCATCGGTTCTTCGATAGGTTGGTCTTCATCTTGTTCAAGGTCATCGGTGATTTCAGCTTTGGTATTCCCACTGTTCGGGTTTTCTTCACTAGCGCTGTTTGGACTTGCATCCTCATCATGGGTTTCGTCAAAAAAAAATCCGCCCCGTCTTCCTTCTTCTGAGTCTCGGCAGCCGCAAAAGGGAAGACTTGCTCAATGAATCTCACATCTCTTGATGTGATGATTTTGTTTTCATCAATGTCAAACACCTTGTAACCCTTCTGGCCTTGCGGATAACCTACGAATACACCGGGTCTCCCCCTTACTTCGAACTTGTCTCCTTACGTTTCAGTATTTCTTGCGTATGCGAGACAACCAAACACTCTCATGTGCTCATAGCTTGCCTTTCGCTTAAACGATATTTCGAAGGGTGTCTTAAAGCCAATCACCTTGGAAGGTAACCTGTTGATTATGTACGCAGCGGTCAAAATACATTCCCCCCACAGTTTAATTGGCAAATTTGCCTCAAACTTCAAGGCCCTCRCCGTTTTGAGCAAKTGTCGATGTTTTCTTTYGGCCACCCYATTCTRTTGTGGGGTKTAGGGGCATGTGGTCTYAAGAATTATTCCTYGTTGAGCATAAAAATCAGCCATGGTACCCGATGTGAACTCTCCCCCATTATCACTCCTTATTCTCTTGACATCCTTTCCAAATTACGTTTTGACCATATTGCGAAAATTCATTAGGTGATTGCTTGCCTCATACTTGTGTTTAATAAGAAATACCCAAACAGTTCTACTAAAATCATCAACAATTGTGAGAAAATAACGTGCTCTCGAGAGAGATGGTGTACGATAGTTCCCCCAAATATCACAATAGAATAGATCAAAACACTCATTAGTCTTGATAAGACTATCAGAAAAAGGTAAATAGGTATGTTTGGCTTTTACACACGAATCGCAAACTCTATTCCTTAATTCAGAAGTAAAATCTGCTAAAAAATCAACTTGATGTAACTTCCCCTCAGAAGCGTGTCCTAGCCTTTTGTGCCAAGTTGAAACATTCGGTGTCACCGTTCAACTCCTTCCTTGCCACTGAATCCATTTGATAGAGGCCCCCTTCACACTGCCCCACGCCAATCAAGCTCCTCGTCCGTACTGCGCAATAAAGAAATCAAGAAAGAAGGTTACAATGCAATGTAGGTCTTTTGTCAAGCGATTAACAGATAAAAGATTGCATTTGAACTTCGGTATATATAACACTTTAGCGATCTTTATTCCATTTGATAACATGGAAGTCCCTTTTCCTTCGACACGAATGTAGTCACGATTCGATATATGATGACCGGCATCTCGCCATTACTGCCCACCTTGTCTTTGAGTAGGCTACTATTGCCAGTCATATGCTCCGTCGCACTAGTGTCAATAATCCACGTTTCACCTTTATCAGTTTTACTTGCCATGGTAGCCGTTGAAGCCATATTATCCGCAGTATTGTTCCCTTTGGTTGAGAAATGCTTGATAGTTTCTGGTACTGTTCATTTGTGAGACCCGGTATTGGGCTTGATTCCGCATCCACCCAAACCGCCTTGCGCCTTTTCTTTCTTTCCTTTGCCCGGCCACAATTCCGGGTAACCTATTCTCTTGAAGCAACCTTCCCGGTTGTGGCTGTTCTTTCCGAAGAAACTACAATGCTCGACTTCTCCCCCATTGTTGCGTCTCACGTCTTTTGCTGCTCCTTTGTTTTGTTGCACGGTCAATTCTCTTGCCATCTCACGTCGGTTCTGTGCAAAGCTTTGAAATGCAGCAGCTTCCTGTACTGGTTTTTTTTGCCACCGAGATGGTCCTTTGCTGCTCATCTTCGAACACGAGGTGGTATGCGGCTCCTAGCGTGGGAGTTGGCTTTGACGCAAGGATTTGCGTCCTTATGGTTGCAAAGATGTTGAGCCCCGTCAGGAATTCATAAAGCCTCTCCTCCTTTTCTTCATTTAATCTTTTCCCCAGGTCAATGTATTGCCACACAAACATCTTGGAATCAAGGAAACCGATTGAATCTCGTCTCACAACCCTCGCATCTTCGTGTAGTAGGCCGATACAGAGCTTCCATCTTGTTGAGTCACGGTGAGTGTCTGTTTTAGTTCATAAGCGCAGGGAGCGCTCCCTTTTCCAAATCTTTCTTCGAGATAGGCCCATATCTCCACCGCTGTGTTGGCGTATTTGACATTGGACCTGATCGTCTTTTCCATGGTCGTGGTTAGCCACCTTTGATCATGGCGTCACAGCGCATCCACATCATGTACTCCGGCGAGCCTTCTTCTGGTATCTTGATCGTCCCGTCCACAAATCCCATCTTGTTCTTTGCGAACAGGAAGTTTTTCATCTCCTGTGCCCAATCTCCATAGTTCCTGTTGGTGAGAATGTCGTTTACGTGCATCTATCTCGGATAGTCCGATGCATGTATGTAATATGGTGAGTTGATGTCATCGAACCCATATGAAGTTTTACCATGAGCAGATTGTATCCGTGAGCAAATATAGGTTTGATTAAGATTTGCTTCTCCAGAGTACCAATATGGGTGTCGTCATCTTTGTTGGTTTTGATTGCATCGTCTGTCATGGTTCTGACGGTGCTTTAGGGTTTCTTACGTAGCCTATATGACCCGCTCTGATACCATAAAGAATATGGTGACCAAAAAGATCAATTTCTCGTTAGGGTTGAATCGATTTAAATACAACATATACAAGGAAACAACAGTATACAAGGAAATAGGAGATAATTACATAGGAGATAGCTACAATTAAGGATATACACAAATATGGTAATATACGAAATCCTTTAGAGCATATAAATTCAAATTTGTTTTGAAAGTTATTATGGCAAAACGTTGGGACTTCCATTTGACATGTTATCTCGGTAATAATTTTGGCTCAAGCAGGTTAAAGAAAGAACTTCAAACGGAAACTCCAATTACGGATCCCATGTAATGCAGTATGGGGACTTGCAGCTTAGCATGGATGAACTGTACCTGTATCTGGGTACAAACCCTGCAAACGAGAACCTCACTTTTGTTGATAGTAGCTCCCTACGACCATCTTCAAAAGCTGTCAACCAACGTGATGCTGATCTCTTACACTTCTGGCATAAGGTTTGACCAACCATCTTGATGCTTGACTTGTATGTTTTTTTTTTCTTTTTCTTTTTGAAATATATAATATTTATATATGGCAAAGGAATTCACATATCCTAACCTCCTACAGGACCGGAGAGGGCTGGTCGGGCTAACGCCAAGGCCCACAAAAAATAGGGGCCCAACAAATTTTTTTAAAATATACAATATAGTATTATAGTGGTAGTCAAAAAATTTAATAAATAAAATATATAAAAGAAATTTTAATTTTAATAGGACAAAAGAATTTTGTATTATATTAAGGGCTCAAATATGTATTAATTAATTACACCGGAAAAGAAAATATGTAAAAACTAAAAAGTTAATGGTCGTTCATTTTATAGTATTGCTTATCGTCTCTCTAGGTTTTTTATCTTAAACTACTTGCCTATAAAATCTTGATATATTCTCCATCATTCATCTCCACCAACTCTTTTCATTATGTCATCCGCATGAATTCTATTTTTGTATTAGAATATAATAGATTTCTTGTTATTAAGAAAACTCCCTACCTTTTTGAAAAAAAATTACCAACTATACAAGACTCCAACTTATATTTATATTTAGGATTTTAAGACCCTTGTTTTTTCAACTTTATTGACTTTTTATTACCTAATATTTAGTGGATGAATTTCAAGTACTCTCGTATCTCCAAAACAAGAATAAGATCTCAAGTTATTAACTAACATGACCTTTTGATTCTAAGATTGATGGTTTTGAAAAAGTTGTTTTAACCTTAAAAGTTTAAAATGGTGACGAAAAACTTTACCCTGTGAGATGGAAACACAGTTGATTTATATTGATTTACACAAGGTGTTGCTTAAAGTAGTCAACATTGTGACCCAAATTGATGTCAATCTATATATTAAAGGTATATCATAGAATGTTTTTGACGGTGAAACAGATTGACAATGCTATGTAAATGATATGGTAGATAATTAGTTTAAAAAATAATTACCGATTGATTTTACGTATAGGAATACTCGGAAAAACCGTTTTAGATGAATTACTAGTATTTTGGCTATAATGGTATTCCGGATATCGCTAGGCCAAAGGCCCTTCTGTTTGGCTTGTATGTTTTTTGTGATAAATAATGCCTATATATGAACCTAAGAGTTGATTCTTTTGTTAGAAAATTGGGTTGGGGTATGTAAGAAATCACATCAAAGAAAACCTTTTGCTTGATATAATCTTAAATCACACACTTACAGTTTTGGCGGAAATCGAAAGCTATAAACCTAGAGAAAATCGTAATGATTCGTACATCAAAACGGAGAATGAATGCCCCATTAAAGGTAAATGATTACTGAAATTGATCAGCAATTATTGGAGGGTCAAGAGAGGTTACATATCGTTCGTTAGAGTTTATGACCATGGCTCCTCTCTTCTCGAGAATCCATACATCCCTTATCAGTGTATGCCATGGACAGCTATCTCTCGAGCACAGGTTTAAGTTCGGCCTCAATGGGAAAATAAAATGGAGCACCTAACATCATTTGTCTGCTTGGCTAGTTAAGCATGGGCTAATTCATAGATCTTTGGGCTTTGATTACCAAGGAATAGAGACTTTAGGTATTTTTGCACTGATGGCACAAGCCGACCCTCATTAGTGCCACTGAAACAATGATAAATAACTACTGCAAGAGGGCCCGCCATATAGCGTTATCTAGTGAACCTGGGTTCTAACTTACCAGGTAAATCCAATTAAATAACAACCCCTTCATTCTGACTTGTATTTTAACTTAAATAACAACCCCTTCATCCTCATGTAAATCCAATTACACTAATGGCCCGATGATTCAGTAAAATCACCATCTTTGCTTTTTGCTTCCTTTTTTAATTTTTTTTTTTTTTTTTTGTTGAACTTGAGTAATAACTTGTTTTGGAGACAGTACCGGAAGGCTCCAGAAGGATCAAGTAGGAAGACAGAATCTTGGAGACAGCTTGCTGAAGCAATGTCTCACAGAATGCACATTGACATCAGTATAAAACTGGTGGGGAAGGTTTTGTTTGGAATGAAGAAGGGTGTGGAGATACTGGATGGTGTCCGACCTGCAGGCCAACCGCTAGTCGATGACTGGGACTGCCTTAAAACATTGGTAACTACATATTTCCTCCCCCAGCCTGTTTCAGATTCAACCCAATTTAATTGCATCAATCATTAAATCAAACATGTATCCTGATTTCATTGCATGAACCTTATGCTTTTATTGCAACATAAAATTGAATGTCTATTAATTTTCATGGATAAAAAGTCCAACTACTCTATGTCCGGGGAAATATGCAACATCTAACATAGCATGTAGTTTTACAACCGATGATTAAATACCTGAAATGGCTGAGAAAACTATCTTGTAATGATAGTTTATAGGACTTCAAGTTGTTATATCGAAAAATTAGGACGCTTTAATTTGAAAGTGTCATGAAAAACTTGTCAAGAGCTACAAAAACATCCTATAAAATTATTAATAACACTTTTACATAGGACACACAATTGTTGGGTTCTATTGTGTGTTCTATAAAGCAGGTAAGATTAAAGCGGTGAAATTCAACACTATCAATTACTTAGCAGGTAAGATTCTCGATTGCTCTTATTGGGCAAGATTCTTGGTCCTTGCGATATTCATCTGGTTAGGTAATGTGAGTTGATAAGCGCTTACTAAGCATTTGGTAAATGGCCCCTTGGACATTTTTCATAAACCCCATTTTGTTATGTGAAACAGATTGGTGTAGTGGTTTGTTGTGTGAATGGAATCCTCTTTTTCAGGTGAGGAGTTTCGAGACACACTGCGGATCCCTATCACAGTATGGTATGAAACACATGCGTTCCATAGCAAACTTTTGCAATGCCGGAATCAGCAAGGAACAGATGACGGAGGCATCATCGCAAGCATGCCCGAACTTTCCATCAAATTCTTGGAGCTCGCTTGCCAACGGATTCAGTGCGTAATGAGAATGATTTGGATTCAATGGAAGATATACGTTTCATGGTTTTGCGTATTCCATTCCATCTTTAACAACACCGTATTTCCCATCTACGTCTAGCGTGCATTAGCCAACAATGCTAGCTTCTTTGTATATACACAATACTTAACCATATATATCCCTCTATCATTCATGCTTTAGTATCTTGCTTCTTACCTTTCTTTTTTCCTGATGGTATTTATATACGGTAAACTAAAAATCACGTACACTTCTCACCTATGATGATACTTGAACCCTTTGGGGGGGCCTCCTGGAAGGTGGGCTTATTGAGTATCGTTGGATCAATGGCTCTTTGGTTGTTGATCTGTTTCATCTATGAACTTCTGGAACCAAAATCTTTTTTATTATGTAATCGCTCCTGATTAGGCCTTGTTTTTTTGGAGTGATAAGTCACGGCGAAGGATCGTGTGAGAAGGGAAGTTATGGTAGAAGTGTAATAAGACATCTGAACTATTGATACTTTTAATCTTATGTCCACCCATGAATTGCATTTTAGAAGGGAACTGACCTGGTGCATGTCGATGCACCTCATCAGTGTTGACATTCAATTAAGATTAATCCAAGGGTGGAGATCTTTGTTTTTTTTTTTTACGTCTTTCACCATTACCCAACCCGATAAGTCATTTAGGTATATGGCGAAGAACTGTATGAGAAGTAGAGTTAAAGTGAGAAGCTTAAGAAGGGATTTGGCTTTATCACATTTAATATCAAACTCACCCATGAATTATGCTTGATAAAGATATTGATCTGGTGTATCTCATTCTAATGTGCATCCAATGATGAGAATCCGTTGTTACGCTTCTCATCTTAACTCTCGTTCTCATCAAAACCCAGCCCTTAGGTATATAACCTTAAAATGATATTTTAAAACATTTGACCGATTAAAAGAAAAAATAGTTTCATACTCATCAGAAGGTCGGAAGTTTAATTAAAATTTTATTTAAGATTATACACCGGAATTTTTTAGTTGTATGCAGATTAATTCATTTTTTTTATTTCTTTTGGTTTTATAATATCTTAACTAAAATTTTATATCTTTTAGAAAAAATTTGTGTTTGAAATAAACTTGTTATCTAAACATTTATTTTAAGAAAAAATTATTTACTAGAAAATTGTTGGCTTCAACACTTATGTTCACTCAACCAATGCAAATGTATGGTGATTGGTGAATGAGATAGACAATTGTTGTGCTTTAAAGGATTCTAAATAATCGAAACAATTATAATTTAAATAAATACCAATTCTTAAAATGGTGTGACATACATCCATCTTTAATTTCAATGATTTACATTTAAGTTTTTGTATGTTAATCATCAAAAACTCAACAAAACAATGGCACATTTTTAGTTTTTTGGCCAGTGTGTCGGGACAATTGAGCAGTGGGCACTGGGCAGTGGCATACATCCTCCTCCTCCCCTCGTCTCCTTTGTAGTGCTTTTTACAAAAATAATTTTGTCTTCAAACTATAATCTATACTATATTATAAAACATTTGGCTAAAACTCTTAAAAACTCTTAAAACTCTTAAAAACTCTTAAACCCGTTCATCCCTAAACGATTTCATCCATATCCGATTTCATCTCATATCTGAATTCGTGTAACTAACTGCAGATAAACACAATCAAATATAGGATAAACATCTCATTTTAAATATAAAAAATCTAAAATATAA